GCTCGGGAAGCCACACCAGAACGCCGGCGTCCAGGGGCGGGGGCGGGCCCTTCGCAGAGACCTTCATGTTGCGGCTGCAGCTCCAGTAGAAGCGCCAGGGGTATTTGTTCTTTTTGGGGTTTTTTTTTTTATTTTTAGCAGAAGTCGTCACGTCTGTTGCCCCCCGGCTTAGGAGTGAGTGCGGTGCCTCAGTTCTCGCTCGCACACGCCAACCTCCAACTCCTGGCGTCAGTGATCCCCCTGCCTGGAGCCTCCTCCGGTGCTGGACTACAGGTGCGATGGCCACCCAGCGCCCGGCTCACTTTCTTATTCTATTATAGTATACTTGGCATATTTTTTATTGTTAGAGGACGGTGGTCGCTCTGCCTCAGTGTGGTGATAACTGTGCTAGTCTGTCGTCAGCTCCCAGGGTGCAAGATGACAGGGGCTGAGCCCGGTACGCCCGGCTCATTTTTGTAATGATATTAGGTTGGGCCAAGTTATTTCTTTCCTATTTCAGTAGGAGATGGCGGTCTCTCTCTTGCTCCAGGTTGTTCGACTCTGGACCTGAGCGATCCTCCCTCCTCAGCCTCCAGGAGTGCTGGGGTGGAACAGTTGGTGAGCCACGCGGCCGGGCCTGGTCTTTTTTGTTTTTTTTGGAGCGGAGTCTCGCTGCTGTCGCCCGGGCCCCTGAGCGTCGGTGAGGCCTGGAGCCCCGCGCAGGGCGGAGGGTTCCCGGAGCGCGCCACACGGTTACCGTGTCCTCAGGAGCCAGCTGTCGTAGAAGAAGGGAACTTCCATCTCGTGTGGTGCTCCGCGAGGCCCAGGCGCCCGCGGGGGCCGTTGACGTACTAGACACGTTACAGGGGACATGCACCGCAGGGAAGGGACTGCGCCGAGGTTCGCACCTGGCCAGAAAGCACGGGTTAGGCTTCCTGCCCGCAGGGTGAGGCCCGGGCATGGTGGCGCATGCCTGTAGTCCCAGCTACTCGGGAGGAGGCTGAGGCAGGAGGATCGCTTGAGCCCAGGAGTCGGAGGTTGCTGTGAGGGAGGCTGATGCCACGGCACTCACTCTAGCCCGGGCAACAGAGTGAGACTCTGTCTCAAAAAAAACAAAAAACAAACCCACCGTTCCTGTTTGGGGAAGCGTTGCTCACTGACCGCCCGCCGCGGCCTCACCTGTTGGGGTGGTCCTTGTGCCTGACGTCCAGGTACTTGAGGGTGGCGATGAAGGACTGGGCCTGGAAGCCCCTGGAGGCCCCGGTGTGGCGACGGGCCTCGGCCGCACAGCAACCTCCAACTCCTGGGCTCAAAGCGATCCTCCCTGCTTGCAGGCCTCTCCCGAGTAGCTGGGACTACAGCATGCGCACGCGCCATGCCGGGCTCATTTTTTATCCTAGTAATATGTTTAGTTGGGCCAATTCATTTCTTTCTATTTGTTGTACTGAAGAGATGAAGGAATACAATCGCTCAATTGAATCAGGCTGAAGTAATTTAAACCCCGTGAGCTCAGTAGATCGCATACAAACCTTGGACAACCACGAGGAGACTGGGAAATGATGGCTTGAGTCACCGCGCACGCGTCAGCGCTTTGTAGGCATATATGTTCAGGGATTTGCCGTTTAGAACTGAGCGGATGACAATCAAGAGTGTTTTGAACAATGAAGCCCTCCCCACCAGTGCTTAGGATCAAGATGGGCTGTGCTTACGGAGCCTTCCGCGCACGGCTTAGGAAAATGTTCTGTCCTGTCTGATGGTCACCTGTCACTCTGCGGTCG